CTTTATAATGCATTACTTTTTTTAAATACATTGCTGAAGTTGATTTGTAATTTTTAATTTAGAGTTTTTGCACACCTGTTCATAAATGAGGTCATTTTACAGATTTTTTTTTTCATATACTGTCTCTAGTTTCTGCAATCAAATTAAAGTAACCTCATAAAATAAGTTGACAGATACCTCCCCTCAGCATTTGAGAATATTTTATTATTTTCTGATGACCTAGTTGCCAAAGGAAATCTTTCCATCTGAAATATCCTTCTTTTGTCTTTGGTATCTTTTAAGATTTTCCCTCTGCCTCTGGAATAAATGGGATTTATTCCACTTCATTTAAGTGTTGTCTTGGTTGGTTTACTTTATTTCATTTCCTTCTTGGGTATTAGTGTGTTCTTTTGTACTATGGGCTCATAATGCCTTCGGTTGTGGAAAATTCTAAGCCATTATTTGTTTACCGCTTGTCATTTACTTGTTTCTCTACTCTCTCCTTTCGATATTTCAACCTGGCTGTATTGGAATTTCTCAATCTGTCCTCCATGTTTCTTTTCTGTCCTGTTTTTCATTTCTTTATCTCTCAGTGCTGTGCTTCGGATTATTTTCCCAGATCTGTCTTCCAAGTCACTAATTTTCTCTTCAGCTATTTTCAGTCTGCTGTGAAGCCATCAATCATGTTTTTAATTTGTGTGACTGCTTTTGTCATTTCTAGAATGTCTGTTTAGTTCTTTTTCAAATTTACCTTTTAAAAAATAATTTGCTGTTCTTGCCTTAGAGGTCGTATTCCCTCATTTCATATTTTAGACGTAAGTCACGTATCATTAAGTGTCCTCTTTTCAGCAGTTCTTGCAAGTGCTTTCTGCCATGATTCTCATAGCCTTTTGGTTTGTGGAGTTTTAGTTTTCCTTCTGGTTTTAGTTTGCAGTGGAGCCCCTTGTGGCCTGCCGTGTAGGGGTGCCTTTGTGGGGCAGGTTTGCATTTGCAGTGCTGGGTCCTTCTGAGCTACCATGCTCTCAGCCAGTTTTCCTGTGGATTTTCGGCTTAGCTTCTCCGCACCTGTGTGTAGATGCATTTCATGTGGACATGGGATTCTGATTTCTTGCTTAGCTGTGGGTCCGTGGGCGGCTTCCTGATAGCTGCCCCAGATAGATGTAGTTTGCTAGCCCCTGCTTCACAGACTGGGCATGTCAAGCCACAGGGCTCTTTGCTCCATAGTCCTGAAAGCCTGTATCCCATCCCAGCAGTTGTGTGGGTCATGCACACTCCACTGTAACGCTCGGTTTGGCTTTGCATTTGCTCCTTGATTCTTATATCCAGAATCTTTGTCTTGGGCTCCCTTGAACACCTGTACATAGAGAGAGGGTCTGGGAGGAGGGGCAGCAATGGCGGTTCAGGTTTATCTGGCTTCCCAGTGTTAACAGAAGAGCGGCACTGCCCAGGAGGGCTCAGGCCTCCCGTGGACCAGCAGCCTGTCCCCGAGAGTGTGCATTTCTCAAACAGCCTGTCCCATCCTGCTCATCCCTAATCCAGGAGACCTCACGTTCTGCCTGGAGGCCCTGTGTGCTGAGGCACTCCCTTCCCCAGCTCAGCCCTTTCTCCAGCTGGGGGCGTGTCTGCCCCGGGCCACAGGGCCACAGGGCCACAGGGCCGGGCTGCTGCAGCTCACACACTATCCCTTCCCCAGGCTCGGCTCCCCCGGTTCCTGCCCCTGACCTCTTGATGCAGATCAAGCAGGAGGGTGAGCTCCAGCTGCAGGAGCAGCAGGCCCTGGGCGTGGAGGCCTGGGCAGCCGGGCAGCCTGATATCGGGGAGGAGCCCTGGGGCCTCAGCCAGCTGGACTCCGGAGCAGGAGACATCTCCACAGAGGCTACATCTGGTGAGTACCTGACGTGGGAGCAGACACACCCTGGCAGCGTGTGGGGAGCTGTCCTGGCCAGTGCTGGGCTTTTCCCACCTGGAGGCAGGAGCTACCCCAGAGGACACCTGCTGGGCCTTGGGAGCTCGGCGGTGCTGTCCCCGGGCATTTCTCAGCCCCTCGGTCAGCTACGCGGCCGCCCTTCCTGCCCCCGGCACTGGGCAGTGAGGTCATCAGTGGCCTCCTATTCAGGAGGACTGTGAGTCAGTGGGGGACTTCGGGCCTTCCAGGTGCTTCAGAGGAGGGGCAGAAGGCACTGGGCTCACAGAGGCCGGGTCACTGTGGCCCTTCAGAAAAGTTCCAGTGAGCGAGCGCTCTTGGGGTTTAGCCGTTCTCCTCCCGTGTTTGCCCTCGGCTCCCCGGCCTGCCCCTGACCCATGGCCTCTGATCTCTCTCCATCGCAGGCGTCCATTCCACCTTTTCAACCACTATCCCACCCACGTCCTGGCAGGCAGATCTCCCTCCCCACCATCCCTCCTCTGCGTGCTCGGACGGGACCCTGAAGCTTAACACGGCAGCCTCCACGGAAGGTACAGGGAGCTGGGCGAGGGGGAGGCCGCGGCGGCGGCCGGGGGAAGCCTCGGCCCAGGCACCTGATCACTGGCAAACTGCTCTGACCTTTCAGCCGGCAGGCAGTTGGTCACCTGTGATCATGTCACTCTTCGTCCATTCTGTCCTTTACTCCTGTCTTGGGCTGTCCAGCTTTCAGACCGTTCCTTTGTGGAGCAGTGCTGAGCAGCCTGCTCTGAGAAGCTGGTACCCTTGAAGGAGATGCCTCTTCCCTGGACTAGGCGGCCAGTGGCTGCGGTCCAACGTGGAAGAAAACAAAACCAGATCCACGCCATTCCTTAGTTACTGGCGCAGTACCAAAGACAGGTGTATTAGTGTTCCCTTTACTTACATGGAGAAGGCCGGTTATCTGCTACTTCAAGTAAGAATTCCGGCCATATTTTAGCATCCCCAAAAATGTGCTGCAAGCCAAGATCCCAGAGATTCACGTGCACGTGTAGAAAAGAAAGCACATTCACTTGTGTGTTTATCCTTAGCTAGCGGCCTCCTGGCATGCTAAGATGCTTCCGGACGTGATCTGGCTGATCGGCATACAAGCCTACCAGGCGACATGCACCGACGAGCTGTTCCTGAAGAGCAGTGGGTGCGTGGCCGAGACGCGGCACAGCCTCAGAGCCGTCTTGACCCCACGGCCGTGCTTCTGCCCCTTGGCAACACAGCCATCGGTGGTCAGAACCCATTCTTAGGATAAATTCACAACTAGCACTAAAAGCCATAGTGAAAACAGGCCCTGGGAACAGATGTGACAGGTGTGGGGACACAGCATCCTCTGGGTGTGAGGCAGCCCCCTGACCGTGGGGGGAGAGGGGGTCTTCCTCAGGGCTTTGGTCCTAAGGCTGGGCCTGCGGCACCCAGCATGGTGCCTCCGGGCTGAGTGAGCAGCTATTGTGTGTCCAGGTAAAGCGCCAGACCCTTCGTTCTGTCAGCAGGCAGGGGCCCGAATGATTTCTGCTTTTCTGTTTCCCTCAGCAGATGTAAAAATTGTGATCAAAACAGAAGTCCAGGAAGAGGAGGTGGTGGCCACACCTGTGCACCCTACCGACCTGGAGGCTCACGGGGCCCTGTTCGGACCCGGCCAGGCCACGAGGTTTTTCCCTAGCCCTGTCCAGGAAGGAGCCTGGGAAAGTCAGGGCAGTTCCTTCCCCAGCCAGGACGCCGTGCTGGGGCTGCGGGAGCCCGCCCGGCCCGAGAGGGACATGGGGGAGCTGAGCCCTGCCGTGGCCCAGGAGGACACTGCCCCCGGGGACTGGCTCTTTGGTGGGGTCCGGTGGGGCTGGAACTTCCGGTGTAAGCCTCCAGTGGGCCTGAACCCCAGGACCGGGCCAGAGGGTTTGTCTTACTCCTCCCCGGACAATGGAGAGGCCATCCTGGACCCCAGCCAGGCCCCACGGCCCTTCAACGAGCCCTGTAAATACCCTGGCCGGACAAAAGGCTTCGGCCACAAGCCGGGGCTGAAGAAGCACCCAGCAGCACCCCCCGGGGGCCGGCCCTTCACTTGCGCCACGTGCGGGAAGAGCTTCCAGCTGCAGGTGAGCCTGAGCGCCCACCAGCGCAGCTGCGGCCTGCCGGACGCGGCGGGCTCCGGGGCGGCAGCCTCTTCCGGCGGCGGCGGCGGCGGCGGAGGTGGCGGCGGCGGCGGCGGCGGCGGCGGCGGCGGCGGCGGCAGCGCCCGGGATGGCAGCGCCCTGCGCTGCGGCGAGTGCGGCCGCTGCTTCACGCGGCCCGCGCACCTCATCCGCCACCGCATGCTGCACACGGGCGAGCGGCCCTTCCCCTGCACCGAGTGCGAGAAGCGCTTCACTGAGCGCTCCAAGCTCATCGACCACTACCGAACGCACACGGGCGTGCGGCCGTTCACCTGCACCGTGTGCGGCAAGAGCTTCATCCGGAAGGACCACCTCCGCAAGCACCAGCGCAACCACGCGGCGGGCGCCAAGGCGCCGGCCCGCGGCCAGCCGCTGCCGCCGCTGCCCCCGGGGCCGCCGGACCCCTTCAAGAACCCCGCAGCCAAAGGACCCCTGGCCTCAACAGAGCTTGTGACCGACTGGACTTGTGGCCTAAGTGTCCTGGGACCCGCCGACGGCGCGGACCTGTGAGGCACCCCTCACGCGCCGTGAGCCCCAAATGTAAAAATCCGTCTTGTAGACAGCGGGCGAGGCTGAGCTCGGAGGCGGACGCGGGGTGGGAACCAGATTTCCCAGTTGCAGAACTCATCACTGGAAAACGCCAGACTGTCAGTGCAGCTTCCACCTCCAACCAAGGTAGAATTCTGATTGTGAAACTGAGCACCGTAGAATTTTAAGTAATTTAATTGCAAAACTGGTTTGTTTGTTTTTAATTCTTGAGGGGGAAAGAAAAAAAAGCTGGAAAGTAATAGTAAGCGCGGGTTTGAATCTGTAGCACGCTCTTGGTTTCCAGGGCACCTCCTAGCTGTGTCTTGCTGAGTGACAGGTGAGTACTGGGAAGCCGTCGGCTGGGGAGGGAGGTGCGGAAGGCCCCGGCCCCACTGACTGCTAGGGATGGGTCCCCCCCCCCCCCCCCCAGAGAGCTGAGGCCCTGCTCTGCCAGGGTGGGCGGGTCTGCACATGGGCTGCCACTCGGCAGGAAGGACCCACCCAGGAGCCACTGTTACAACTCCAGCTTGCCTCTTCATCCAGAAAGGAAGGCCCCCTCAACTGCTGGCCATGGTCTGGCCTTTCCCTATGTGGGGCCACCTGGGGTACCTCTCTGAAGGGAACTTGGCCACGGCCCCTGTTGAGTGAGTCCCGGGCTGTAAAGCAGCATTGTCAGAAGCCACAGTGTTGGTCTTGGGAGGGTGAAGAAGCTGAGGCGAGGAGTGGAGCCCGCAGACATCTGGTGGTCACCCCGGAGCCAAGAGCAAAGTGTCGCTGCCACTGCCCACTCCTGCCCTGTGCCTCTGGCGGGATCAGCGCCCTGACTCCAGGAGGTGGGGCAGGCAGGCATTCTTTCCTTTGAGACATGAGAGAGTAAAGGCTCAAAGGGGACCATCTCAGTCTCACTGTGGGTGCACAGTGGGGCACCCGGCGTTGAGAAGGGCCGCAGTGGGATGCGGCTCCTGCCCTTGGAGCATCAGTTTGGGGGAGAAAAGGTTTCCATTTTCGCCCTCTAAAAAGATTGATCCCGCACCTGCATGAGTCAGATCATCAAGCCTCAAAGAAACTTCGGGTGCAGCAGCTGCCTGGCTGCGCCCCAGCTTCCCCGGTGAGTGCACGCACCCCCACACGGGGTACTCGGAAGGCAGCGTGAGAGCTGAGTTCCCAGTCTGCGGCTTGCCCCCAAGCCTGTTCTCTTCAGGCTGGAATGAGAAACAGGCCCAGGTTTCTTGATTCTACCACAGTGCTGTCCCCACCACACGAATACCCATTCCTGTTTTGTTGACTGCCTGTGGCCCTCTCCCAGAGTGAGTACCTCCTCTCCCTGTGGAGGAGAGGCCCTGGCATCCATTTGTTCAGCTCCCTCATGCGTACTTTTATTAGGCAATAGACTAGTTAAGAAAATTGTTTCTATGTACTGTATATTTTGTACCTGTTTACACTTCTAATATTGATATAACTGATATTTTGAAAAACAAATGGACAGAAAACATCTTGTTAAAATAAAACCTAACCAGCACCAAGGCGGTTTGGTGGGTTCCATTCTTAGACCTGTGTCTTTGTTGCTGATGCTTCTAAATACATCCCCCGGGGAGGGGAGTGAGGGGAGGCGGCGATCTGACGGGTCTCCCAGATGGGTGAGGAAAAGTTGGTTGAAGAAGATAGGGAAGGAGGGAAAGAAGCAAAGGAAAGATCACAAAACAAAATGGTGGAGAAATCCACATACATCTATGTTCACTACAAATAAGCTTTGTGGTCGAAAAACAAATTGTCAGATAATAAGACAAAACAAAGATCCAGCTCTTCACTTTGAAGTTTTAGGGGAGGATTCATTGTGGCGTAAACACAAAATAGTTCTCCTCCAGGGACTGCCCTGAAACTGTGCTCTGTCAACCTTTTTTTCTCACTGGCAGTTTGGTGCCTAAATGACATCTTGTCAGAATTCCAACACATGCAGTCACTTTGTGCCGTCGGAGGAGCCTCATTCTACTCTCAGTGGGAACCATATTTGAATTTCAGTGTGAAGCCCCATTCAGAGCCCACGTGCCTGCCACCCCAGCTCCGGCCAGCTCTGTCTGGGGTGCCAGCAGCTTGGCACTGGGTGACATTGAGGTCTGCTCTTCGAATCCGTCTTCCTCTGCCCTGGTCTGCTTACACTTCCTTCCCCGAGAATGTAGCCTAGGCCTTCGCGAACTCTCGCTTCTGACTTTGAGGATCCAAAAAGGAGGGAGTACCGATGCCTGCTGACGTGGGACCGCGTGCGGCTTGGCTCCACCTGTGACTGGCCCCTGCAGGGGTGGCGGTAACCAGGTGACTGTTGTGTGAGCTTTCCTTGGGGTAGTGCTCAGCTTCACTTTACACCCCTCTGATGCTGAAAACCAGTCCCAGCGAGGGAGCTGGAAAGTGTTGCCCCCCAACTTTGCCCTTGGGCAGGCACGCCATCCTGTGGCCTGTGGCTGTATGGACAACCTCCGCGTCCCTCCCCCTGCTTCCAAACCCCTGAGCCTCGTTGCTGAGAGAACCTGGAATGTGGCGGGAGCAGCCGCACCTTTCCCTGCTCTGCTGGGCTGCTCCTTCAGAAGCTCTGCACTAACTGCCACGTCCCAGTGTGTCCACACCCTGCAGGGGTAGCATCAAGGGCTCCAATGAAGGAGAACAAGAGCGGCTCACCTGGCAGAAAGGGAAGGAATCTCACAGACATCTCTGTATTTGTGGAGCGGGGGAGAGGGTATTCGTGCCTCGCCAGTCGTGAGGTGACTGTCCCGGAATTAACACGTGGGGCACTTTACATCTCTTGTCCTGGGCTCTGGGCCTTAGCTTCAATTTCCAGAGAAGGATAAAACAGTGCTGGACATCTTATCATATGCCATTGACAAGAAGCATACCTAAAACTTAAGGATGCAAAATAGTTCAAAGTAAATAATTAGGGAGAAAACCCACAAATGCTAGGTAAAAGATAGCTGGAGCATCAATCCTATTGGGAAAAAGAAACCTTTTTTAAAATATTTATTGGGGCTGGCACTGTGGCGCAGCGTGTTAACATGCTGGCCTGAATCGCCGGCATCCCATATGGGCGCTGGTTCAAGACCAAGCTGCTCCACTTCCGATCCAGCTCTCTGCTATGGCCTGGGAAAGCAGTAGAAGATGGCCCAAGTCCTTGGGCCCCTTCACCCACATGGGAGACCCAAAAGAAGCTCCTGGCTCTTGGCTCCTGGTTTTGGATCGGCACAGCTTTGGCCATTGCAGCCAATTGGGGAGTGAACCATCTGATGGAAGTCAGTCTCTCTCTCTCTCTCTCTCTCTTTCTCTCTCTCTCTCTGCCTCTTCTCTCTCTGTGTAACTCTGACTTTCAAATAAATAAATCTTTTTAAAAATATATTTATTTATTTACTTGACAGAGTTACAGACACGCTTTGGGGGGTTGGAGAGAGGTCTTCATCTGCTGGTTCACTCCCCAAATGGCCAAAACGGCGGCTGATCAGAAGAGAAGCCAGAAGCCAGGAACCTCTTCCAGGTCTCCAATGAAGGTGCAGGGGCCCAAGCACTTGGGCCATCTGCTCTTTCTCAGAGCCATGAGCAGGGAGCTGGATCAGAAGTGGAGCAGCTGGGACACTAGCAGCTAAGGCAGATGCTTAAGCTACTACACCACAACACCGGCCCCGAGGAAAAAAAAAAAACATCTTTAGTGCGAAAGTATTACTAGGCCAAAATGAATGGCAATGTTATGAAAACAGTAAGGTTTGATGTCCCTAACATGGTTTCAAAATCCATAGAACATGAAGAATGATGAAGAAACAATTGAAAAATCACAATGAGAGAATTCCACATACCTTTTTCTGTAATTTATAAAAGAGAAATTAGTGGCTGGTGCTGCGGCTCAATAGGCTAATCCTCCACCTAGCGGCGCCGGCACACCGGGTCCTAGTCCCGGTCGGGGCGCCGGATTCTGTCCCGGTTGCCCCTCTTCCAGGTCAGCTCTCTGCTATGGCCCGGGAAGGCAGTGGAGGATGGCCCACGTGCTTGGGCCCTGCACCCCATGGGAGACCAGGAGAAGCACCTGGCTCCTGCCATTGGATCAGTGTGGTGCGCCGGCCGCAGCGCGCCGGCCGTGGCGGCCATTGGAGGGTGAACCAACGGCAAAAGGAAGACCTTTCTCTCTCTCTCTCTCTCTCACTCTCCACTCTACCTGTCAAAAAACAAAAAATTAGTAAGAATATAGAAAATTTGAAAGTATATTATAAATTGGACATTGTTTTAAATGAGGCTTTATGTTCCTTTCAAGTATTTATAAAAATTGGCTTCAAAACAAATCACAATGAATTCCAAACAGCTTATTTTATTGACTTCAAAATCACAATGCAGCAAAACTAGACATAAATAACAATATTATAAATGTTTTTAAAAGAGAATAACGATTTATTGCAGAAAATATAAAACAGTTGTTGCTCACAATACTGTTTCTTTTAAAAGGTTTATTTATTTATTTATTTGAAAGGCAGAGTTATAGAGAGGCAGAGGCAAAGAGAGAGAGAGAGGTCTTCCATCCACTGGTTCACTCCCCAGAAGGCTGCAATGGTCAGAGCTGGGCCTATCCTAAGCCAGGAGACAGAAGTTTCTTCCAGGTCTCCCACATGGGTGCAGGGGCCCAAGGACTTGGATCTTCAACTGCTTTCCCAGGCCATAGCAGAGAGCTGGATCAGAAGTGGAGTAGCCGGGGCCGGTGCTGTGGTGTAGCAGGTAAAGCACTGCCTGCAGTGCAGTGCCGACATCTCATAGGGGCGCCGGTTTGAGACTCAGCTGCTCCATTTCTGATCCAGCTCTGCTATGGCCTGGGAAAGCAGTAGATGGCCCAAGGCCTTGGGCTCCTGCACCCGCATGGGAGACCAGGAAGAAGCTCCTGGCTCCTGGCTTTAAATCATTGCAGCTCTGGCCGTTGCAGCCATCTGGGGAGTAAACCATTGGATGGAAGACCTCTCTCTCTCTCTCTCTCTCTCTGCCTCTGCCTCTGCCTCTCTGTAATTCTACATTTCAAATAAATAAATAAATCTTAAAAAGTAAAAACAAAAATAAGTGGAGCAGCCAGGACTCAAACCAGCACCCATATAGGATGCTGGCAATACAGGCGGTGGCTTTAACTGCTACACCACAGCACCAGCCCCTAATACTGAGAGACACAGAGAGAGGAGAGGGAGAGAGGTCTTCCATCAGATGGTTCACTCCCCAACCGGCTGCAACGGCCGGAGCTGCACCAATCTGAAGCCAGGAGCTTCTTCCAGGTCTCCCATGTGGGTGCAGGGGCCCAAGCACTTGGCCCATCTTCTACTGCTTTCCCAGGCCATAGTAGAGAGCCAGATCTGAAGAGGAGCAGCCGGGACTAGAACCGGCGCCCATATGGGATGTTGATAATACAGGCGGCAGCTTTACCCGCTACTCCACAGCACCGGCCGCTAATACTGTTTTAATAACAATCCTATTGTGATAAGTTCATAATAAAGAATTTAAGCTAACTACTGAATACTTAATATTTTTTAAATATTTATTTATTTATTTGAAGGGCAGAGTTACAGAGAGGGAGAGAGATCCTCCATCCTTTGGTTCATTCCACAAATGCCCACAACGGCCGGAGCTGAGCTGATCCGAATCCAGGAGCCAGGAGCTTCTTCCCATTCTCCCACATGGATGCAGGGGACCCACGCACTTGGGCCATCTTCAACTGCTTTCTCAGACCATGGCAGAGAGCTGGATTGGAAGGGAGCAGCTGGGACTAGAACTGGCGCCCATGTGGGATGCCGGCACTGCAGGCAGCGGCTTTACCCACAACGCCACTGCGCCGGCCCCGAGGTGAATTCACATTGAACATGCTGTTTCATGAATGAAACTACTACTGCAAAGCATAAGGCTGAACTACTGAAGTATGCGCCAGCATGACTGGTGCCAACCAGAGAGGCTCCACGTCCCCAAGTGCACACAGAGGACTCCACCTCTATGACGAGGGCAACAATAATGTACGGGGGCCCAACACAAGATTCCTGGGCCCGTCAGAACTCAGACTGGGGGGGTCACAAGAGAACTTTCTTCAGGGGTAGGATGTTTTCTATCTTGATGCGGGGTGTGGGGACCACACGGGGATTTGCATTTGTTAAAACTAGATAAACTGTACACCTGAGGTCAGTGCACTACCTGTATGAAAACAACACTTTCACTAAAAAAAATAGATTGTGGAACAATTACCACAAAAAATGTTAAAAAAAAAAAAAAAAACAGACTAGGAGATATTGCCATGGGTACCACCAGCAGAGCGCTGTGGGGACTACAACCTGTATAACAGTCCCCTGAGCCACTGGAAATCTGTCCCAGGCCACTGGTGGATGCGTGAAACCATGGATGGAACTGAACCCTATGCATACTATGCATTTTACTGTATATGCATATTTAGGATAAATTTTATCTATTAGGCACAGTAAAAGTAATAATAATGACTAATAGAACATTTATAACAATATACTATATAGGCCGGCACCGTGGCTCAGGCTAACCCTCCGTCTTGTGGCGCCGGCACACCGGGTTCTAGTCCCGGTCGGGGTGCCGGATTCTGTCCCGGTTGCCCCTCTTCCAGGCCAGCTCTCTGCTATGGCCCGGGAGTGCAGTGGAGGATGGCCCAAGTGCTTGGGCCCTGCACCCCATGGGAGACCAGGAGAAGCACCTGGCTCCTGCCTTCGGATCAGCGCAGTGCACCGGCCACAGCGCACCGGCCGCGGCGGCCATTGGAGGGTGAACCAACGGCAAAAGGAAGACCTTTAGCCGGCGCCGCGGCTCACTAGGCTAATCCTCCGCCTAGCGGCGCCGGCACACAGGGTTCTAGTCCCGGTCGGGGTGCCGGATTCTGTCCCGGTTGCCCCTCTTCCAGGCCAGCCCTCTGCTGTGGCCAGGGAGTGCAGTGGAGGATGGCCCAGGTGCTTGGGCCCTGCACCCCATGGGAGACCAGGAAAAGCACCTGGCTCCTGGCTCCTGCCATCAGATCAGCGCGGTGCGCCGGCCGCAGCGCGCCGGCCGCGGCGGCCGTTGGAGGGTGAACCAACGGCAAAGGAAGACCTTTCTCTCTGTCTCTCTCTCTCTCACTGTCCACTCTGCCTGTCAAAAAATAAAAAAAAAAAATAAATAAATAAAAATAAAAAAAAGGAAGACCTTTCTCTCTGTCTCTCTCTCTCACTGTCCACTCTGTCTGTCAAAAAAAAAAAAAATACACTATATAGTTATTTGAATTGTTCTCTGCTCACCTTCTTGTGATCATTTGAAATGATTCTAAAAGGAATCACTGTATGGCTTCTCCTATCTGAATTGCCAGCAACACAAATGTGGTGCTTTGGGGCCATTATTAAGTAAAATAAGGATTATGTGAACACAAGCCCTGCAGTGTTGCAAAAGCTGATCTGATAACCAAGAAGGCTGCTGAGTGACTAAGGGGCAGGTAGCATATACAATGTGGATACACTGCACAAAGACATGATGCATTTCACAGGTTCAGAAGCAACAGACAGGATGGTGTGAGATTTAAAATGCATGAGGTTAAGCTGCCGCCTGCAGTGCCAGCATCCAATATGGTCGCTGGTTCGAGTTCTGGCTGCTCCACTTCTGATCCAGCTCTCTGCTATGGCCTGGAAAAGCAGTAGAAGATGGCCCAAGTCTTTGGGCCCCTGCACCGGCATGGGAGACCCAAAAGAAGCTCCTGGCTCCCAGCCCATTGCAGCCAATTGGGGAGTGAACCAGCAAATGGAAGACTTCTCTCTCTCTCTCTCTCTCTCTCTCTCTGCTGCTGCTGCTGCTGCTGCCTCTCTGTAACTCTGCCTTTCAAATAAATCTTTAAAAAAAAAAAAATGCATGAGGGGCTGGTGGCGCTGTGGCACAATGGGTTAACGCCCTGGCCTGAAGCGCCAGCATCCCATATGGGCGTTGGCTCTAGTCCCAGCAGCTCCTCTTCCAATCCAGCTCTCTGCTATGGCCTGGGAAAGCAGTCCTTGGGCCCCTGCACCCACGTGGGAGACCTG